CTTAACATAAAATAAAATGATTTAGTATGATTTAAATTTTATGATTTACTTAATTTATGTTGATTTGAATTTAGAAAATTAGGAAAATTACTCTACTTTTATTTAAATGACTTCACTTCATCCCAAATATTCATATACATATTTATATCTCTTTTCTATGTCATTCTAACAAATATTCGTTAGGTTGTTGCGGCTATGCCGTACTTACAGCTCGTCCCTCGAGGTCAGCAGGCCTGTTGACTTCCGATGCAGCTATGTATTTCTATGTATTTTCTAAAGTTTACTTCATAATAATGAAGATATATATATATAGATATTAAAGGATGTAGCACGCAATTAATTTAAAATAAGGCAAAATCTTTCAAAAAAACTTATTCATTCTAGAAATTAACAAATATGATTCAAACTTCTTTACGGTTTTAAATTCCCTACAGTGGCAGATCAGCTATGCATCTAAAACTGTGGAGGTTACATGGTATTCCTTTGTCTGTTAATTCTCTTGGGGAAATAACGGCTGCAGCGTGGTAGAAAGCTGAACACAAATCCGCGAGAGCTACTTTTATTGTAGGCGAGAGGAGAGGGGGTTGATTCCACGCCTCATGGAAACCTCGTGGTCCTTATGTAATGTCAGGGAACAGCGAAGGGGGTTTCATGAAGCTCCGTTACTTTTCCTCCAAAACGATCCTCGATAGCTCTAATTCCTCATCTCGGATTCCTGCGTTTCTGGCTTATATATAGTTTATATATGTGCTCGGCCGAAATACCAGGCCACCATGGCTCTGCGAAATTCATGGCCATTAGAACTTCCACAAGAATTGCAGTTTCTTTTTCTCACCTGATATTGGCCGACCCACAGGGAAAATTAAACAGCAACTCTCAATTGCACTTGAAACTCGCACTTGTTTGGTTGCAACTAGTTTCATAAATTCACTTTAATTCAAATATAAAGATTGCGGGACACGTGTAATTAGGTATTTCCACGTGTTTTATTCTTAAAATAGTGAAATCTTAGGTCAATCCGCTGGAGTCAAAGAACGATTTGAAAGCGAAACTGGGCTTATCTTTGCAGCGAAAACGAACCTACTTGCACATGCCAGGGAGCTTTAACGGTTCTAAAAAAAAAGGCATAGGAAAGAAGGGGATGGCAAGTGTGCACTTTTGGAGACTACTGCAATCTGGACAATGGGACACAACTGAAATTGTTTGTCTTAAAATTTGCTTATGAAAATCACCCTCACACCCACAGGTTGGAATGAAAATTTATTTTTCGGCTCAAAGCTGAAAAAGGGTGATCTTTACCAAATGTCTTTAGCATGAAAGGTCCCTAATTCTTTTCCTGATAAGTCTTCTAGTAAATACAGTGATTGTCCGCACTTTTTCTTTACTCGGACTTTTACTCCAACATTGCTGGAGTAAAAACATTGGCATTGCTTAGCTTAAAGTTTCTTTTCGTTACTATCTGGCCAATATTAAATGTCCGGTGATGGCTTCGCAAATCATACGTACGTTTGTTGGTCTGATAGGCTTTCTGCATACGTTTTTGAATGTCACCTCGAATATTAAAAAAGTTGTCTAGTTGATTAAGGGTAGTGGATCCCTCATTCATTAATCCCAATTTTTTTAAAAGCTGGTAATCGTTACTATGAGTAATCATGTTTTGTCCAAAAACGGATAAATATGGGGGCATTCCAATACATGTAGATTATTTCGCAAGGCACTATTAATGCTACTTAAGTATATATCCCGTTCCCTCTGATCAGACTGAATGTAAGATCTAAACTCCGCGTTAATAGACCTATCAACTCGTTCTGCAGCGTTGGATTGAGGAACATATGCTGCTGTGCACAGGTGTTGGACTCCGTAGTGATGCAAAAACGCAGAGAAGTTATTTCCTTTAAACTGTCTACCATTGTGAGTAACAACTACCTGTGGAACTCCAAAGCGAAAATATCCTCTTAAGGATTTTAACAACTTTTAACAAGAAGGAGAATTTTGATAAGTCATCCAAAATTATGAGTATTCCTTTATGTTCTCTTTTAGTTCTAGGAAAAGGATAAAATCGAGATATAGTCTCTGAAAAGGTCTCTCGCTTTTAGTTTGCTATCCCATTGTAATTTTCAATTTCCGCGTGGGATGTTTGCACGTTTGACATAACTCACATTGGCGAATGTAATCGCGAACATTTATAACCATTCCTGGCCATGAGAAAGTTCTGCGTATTCTCTCTAATCACTTTGCCATGCCACAATGCAAAGCGGATGGTTGATCATGGGCTGCTCTAATGATCTAATTCTGTTCTCAATTGCCTTGGGACTACCAACTTCCAGCACTGATCGTCTTTATCCAGATCGCCTCTAGAAAAGTTACAACGATGATAAAGCAAGTTGTCAACTACCTGATAATCCTGAAATATCTGAAATAACATGCCCTATTTGCAACTATTTTGTCGATAAGTTCTCTATATTCCGAAGACTGGAACGCATCGAAAAGAAGATCTATCTCGGGCCAGTGAATATCTAAACTGATTGGTTGCTCGTATCCGTCTTCGTCATACTGTGCCAATGAGCCTCCTACTCCATAGATGGATGCATCGCACTGAATGATGAAAGGTTTGTCGTAATTGGGACTAATTAATACTGGGGATGAGCATAATTTTTCTTTAATGACTTGGAAAGAGTTCTGTGCATCTTTATTCCATGTAAACGTCAAATACTGTTCCATAATACGTCGAATAGTATTGTCTAATACTGTGGTATGAATCTTTGATACCAACCGGTCATTCCCAAAAACGGTCGTAATGGTTTCTGCGTTGCAGGAATAGGATAGTCTGATATGGCATAAATTTTGTCGTTTTTCGGTTGAAGAGTGTCCTCTCCTACTACATATCCTAATTATTCCACTTTAGGTAAGCCGAATTGACTTTTGACTATGTTGATGGTCAACCCTGCCTTACTTAATGGGAAGCAACTGCGGTTAAAAGAGTCTGGTGTTCATCAAAAGTAGAAGACAATACAAATAAGTCGTCTAGGTAAACCATTACGTGAGACTTTAACTGATATGGTATAACCTGATTTTAACCTGACATCCCTCTTTTGAGAATTGCGGATGTCCTGTGGATCGTTTCCCGAATGTGGATTACATTTAACACATTTTGGTCGATAGGTATCTAAAGCTCCACAGCCGTAACAAAACACGCGCCGAGGCTTAAGACAATCTAAATACCTGTGAACTAGATGATGGGGTATCTAGATGCAAAAGTTCATGATATAACTCTGGTTTTAGATTGTTTCGAACTTCTTCTACGATTTCATCATCAGACAATGGTTCTCGTAAGGCATCAGTAATAGCAACCATGGCATCTAAGAATTCATCGAAACTTCCGTTTCGACCCTGTTTCCGTCTACGTAAAGTATCTTTAATTTCCCTTTCTGTACGTTGATCTTTGTATCTCTCTCTTAAACGAGTACATAAATCGAAACAGGTGGTTTCCTCATTAGATCTGTGACAACGCCAATAAAATTTAAAGCTGGTCCACCAAAAATTAAATGTTAAAATTTGTAAAGCAATACAAAATTTCCACTTTAACTTTGGGATGTTAAGCATAACATAAATAAAGTTTTCTACTAAGATATCACTAAGCAATCCTTTAAATTTGATATGCCAATTCCAAATAACTCCAGCAGTTTTATCCGAGAAGTCTCTAAGAGGTTTTTGAACTACCGGCGCATTATTATAACGTCATTTAAAGTGATTGGATCGTGCTCCACTGTCTAAACTTATACGAGGATGGGTCAATGGTGCAGGATAATCCCATTCAAGGCGCGGGTTTTCTGTGTTTTTTTCGCGGAATCCCGTTTAACGACAAGCTATTGTCGTTGTACAACAAGGGTTATACGAACTTCTTCGGATAAGGTTGCTGCCATGTTTATACGATATGACTCTATGGAGTCATATGGAGTTCTATGAACTTGCTATCAATTGTTGAATTCTTTCTTCACTAATACCATTGACATGAGCATTAGCCTCAGTATTTGTTACATCCTGACGCGATGTAGCTCCTAGACTCGTTCGGGGGCTTACATTTGCATTCGGTCTTTGGTGAGATCGGGTATTAGGTCTGTATCTAGGAATTGTTCCAGTAGTTGCGCTATTGTTTCCAACAGCTCTGGTTTTCCTAGCGTGGGAAACGTTCGCTTCTGCATTAGTCGAATTCTGGCTTTCAACCTGATCTCGCACCACTTCGATGGAGCAGCTTATTGTAGTATCTCCCTCATTGGATATTCGTTCTACCAAGTTTTCTAGACTGCGTCTTACTGCCACTATTTATGTTTATATTTTTTTTTGCTAGTGATTTATTTTTCATGGTTGTTGGGGTTTTACTCCGAGACGAGCTAATCTAACTATTCAGCTAGGTTATCCTACATTCCTTGAATTTTATCTATTGAACTATTCTGGAAACTGTCAAATAAAAGAGAGTCTTGCCAAGAATGCTCAGCAAAAATTATCTCCAATTTTAATTGTTTTTCGAAACTAATATTAGGAATTACATTCGGTTGCTGACGTGCCGATATAGACTCAGGACGAAAAATCAAAGACTGATATTGATGATACAAGAAATAAGAAATATTTAATAAAAGTGAGTGATCCTAAATGCGTAGAGCCTTTTTGATAGTGGATTGTATATTTTATTGTTCTTGATTGTTTCGCTGTCTACTAAAGAAAATTGACAATGTTACCATTGTGCTGCTTATTTCTAAAAGTAGTTTGTACACATTGTTTTGATCTTAAGACTAAAATATAGAGATGACAATATGAGCTAAACTGAATACCTAAGCGATAGTTTTCAAACATCCCGGCCCACCCTGAAACACGGTTTCTCAATGAGGCAATTCCGCAACTTTCGTTATTGACTGGGTCAACTCTCCTGATGCCATTTTGAGCCTTACTGCTCGCACGATGTTGTCCCTTCCTGGGTAGGTTTCGATCACCCACGCTAAGTGTCATGATGCTGGTGGTGTGTTGGACTCCTTGACGAGCACAACGCTGCCAATCTTGATGTTGGTTGTTGCCTTGGTCCACTTTGGTCGCTGCTGAAGACTCGTCAGGTACTTCTGGTGCCATTGTTTCCAGAAGCCTTAGTACATCGATTGTATACTCTGCCAGTATCCCAAACGGCCCACAGGAATGTGGCCAAGATCCGCCTCCGGGATCGTCGTAATTGGTCGCCCGATCAGGAAATGGGCTGGTGACAGATAGTTGCTGTCTGTATCCGATGTGTAGCATAAGGGTCTTGAGTTGACAACCGCACTGATCTGCGCCAGCAAGGTGCGCATTTGCTCATGGGTTAGTGTGCTGCTGCCAATGACTCGTCGAAGATGCAGTTTGACACATCGAACTGCTGATTCCCACTTTCCTCCCCAATGCGGAGCACGAGGTGGGATGAAGGTCCATTGGATACCTTCGTCTGCTGGGGAGTTCGCTACGTGATCCTTGTGTTGTGTTGAGCTCAGTAGCTGCTGCATTTCATCCAGGGATCTCCTGGCTCCGATGAAATTTGTTCCGTTGTCGCTGTACATGCGAGTACATTTGCCTCGTATAGAGAAAAATCGTCTCAATACCGCTAGAATTGTTTCTGTAGATAAGTCGGTGGCGAGTTCTAGATGGATCGCCGACGTAACCATACATACGAATAGGCATATAGCCCTTGCTCATGCGCGGCTTGCGCTCCTTAGCGTCTTTCAGAAGAATTGGTCCTGCATAGTCGCATCCATCCTGTGTACGTACGCTGGGTAGATCTGCCATACGTTGATGCATTGTGTGTTGTCTTTGTCGAAAGCACGCCAAACAGCTGTGTTTGATTTTGCGTATCAGATTCCGGGCGCCAAAAATCCAATATCGTTGCCGGACAATGACGAAGAGAGATGAAACTCCAGATTCCAGAAAGATTGTCCGTTGTGACAATTACCTGCGCAGCAAGGCAGTTAGCTTTGATCTCACTTTGTATGCTTTTGTCTAAAAGTGAAGAACAGATGTGAGAATTGTTCAACTTTACCAAAAATTGATCCTGGTCCCTCAGCCATGAAGGACCCTTCCACCACAATTGGAAGTCAATGAGCTCGGATACTCCCAAGCCCCGGGATGCACAATCCGGTGGGTTCGATTTTAAGTCCACATGCCGCCACGCATGCTCAGGTATGGTTTCCAAGATCTCGGCGGTGCGGTTCCCAATAAACGTCTTTAGTTGGGCTGGTGAGTAAGCTAGCCATGATAGGACTATTGTGGAGTCGCTCCATGCATAGATTGTCAAATCCTTGTGTTTTAATACAGCCTTGATGGATTGCAAAAGTTGGCTCAGAAGAAGTGCACCGCACAGTTCCAGGCGTGGCAGAGATTGTTGTTTAAAAGGTGCCACCCTTGTTTTTGCTGCAAGTATGGCTACCGAAATGGTTTCATCGTCCTTAACCATTCGGCTGTAAACTACGGCTGCATATGCTTTCGTGGATGCGTCTGAAAATCCGTGCAATTTGATCTTGTCGGTGTCGCTCTCAACCAAGCGTGGTGTCTGGCATTGTGGTAGGTTTTCTAAATCTGATCGCCATTTGAGCCACTTGTCGGCTAATTTGTTTGATAGTTCGTCGTCCCAATTCAAATTCAACAGCCACAGTTTTTGAAATAGTATTTTGAATTGAACTACGGTTGGTTCTAATAGACCGAGAGGGTCGAATATGCGTTACACATCCGACAACACTTGCCCCTTGGTGCAGTTTGGACTCATTGCTAGATTCTCATTGTAAGACAATGTGTCCTTCTTAGGGTGCCAATGCAGCCCTTGAACCTTTACTGATGAGTGTGAGGAATCTGTGTTATACTCCGATTCAATGTATTTGGTATTCAATACCCATTTCCCGAGCTCTAGCTTAGCACAGGACATTGTTGGACGAGTTCGTCCCGATTGCGTCGCAGCTCATCCTCACTTTTGGATCCAGTGAGAACGTCATCCACATAGAAGTCTTCCATCAAGATTTTTGCTGCAAATGGAAACTCCTTCTGGTGGTCAGCAGCCTGTTGTTTGAGTACTCGAGCTGCTAGGAATGGTGCGCATGATGTTCCAACAACAAGGGTTGTACGAACTTCTTCGGATAAGGTTGCTGCCATGTTTATACGATATGACTCTATGGAGTCATATGGAGTTCTATGAACTTGCTATCAATTGTTGAATTCTTTCTTCACTAATACCATTGACATGAGCATTAGCCTCAGTATTTGTTACATCCTGACGCGATGTAGCTCCTAGACTCGTTCGGGGGCTTACATTTGCATTCGGTCTTTGGTGAGATCGGGTATTAGGTCTGTATCTAGGAATTGTTCCAGTAGTTGCGCTATTGTTTCCAACAGCTCTGGTTTTCCTAGCGTGGGAAACGTTCGCTTCTGCATTAGTCGAATTCTGGCTTTCAACCTGATCTCGCACCACTTCGATGGAGCAGCTTATTGTAGTATCTCTCTCATTGGATATTCGTGCTACCAAGTTTTCTAGACTGCGTCTTACTGCCACTATTTATGTTTATATTTTTTTTGCTAGTGATTTATTTTTCATGGTTGTTGGGGTTTTACTCCGAGACGAGCTAATCTAACTATTCAGCTAGGTTATCCTACATTCCTTGAATTTTATCTATTGAACTATTCTGGAAACTGTCAAATAAAAGAGAGTCTTGCCAAGAATGCTCAGCAAAAATTATCTCCAATTTTAATTGTTTTTCGAAACTAATATTAGGAATTACATTCAGTTGCTGACGTGCCGATATAGACTCAGGACGAAAAATCAAAGACTGATATTGATGATACAAGAAATAAGAAATATTTAATAAAAGTGAGTGATCCTAAATGCGTAGAGCCTTTTTGATAGTGGATTGTATATTTTATTGTTCTTGATTGTTTCGCTGTCTACTAAAGAAAATTGACAATGTTACCATGGTGCTGCTTATTTCTAAAAGTAGTTTGTACACATTGTTTTGATCTTAAGACTAAAATATAGAGATGACAATATGAGCTAAACTGAATACCTAAGCGATAGTTTTCAAACATCCCGGCCCACCCTGAAACACGGTTTCTCAATGAGGCAATTCCGCAACTTTCGTTATTGACTGGGTCAATTCTCCTGATGCCATTTTGAGCCTTACTGCTCGCACGATGTTGTCCCTTCCTGGGTAGGTTTCGATCACCCACGCTAAGTGTCATGATGCTGGTGGTGTGTTGGACTCCTTGACGAGCACAACGCTGCCAATCTTGATGTTGGTTGTTGCCTTGGTCCACTTTGGTCGCTGCTGAAGACTAGTCAGGTACTTCTGGTGCCATTGTTTCCAGAAGCCTTAGTACATCGATTGTATACTCTGCCAGTATCCCAAACGGCCCACAGGAATGTGGCCAAGATCCGCCTCCGGGATCGTCGTAATTGGTCGCCCGATCAGGAAATGGGCTGGTGACAGGTAGTTGCTGTCTGTATCCGATGTGTAGCATAAGGGTCTTGAGTTGACAACCGCACTGATCTGCGCCAGCAAGGTGCGCATTTGCTCATGGGTTAGTGTGCTGCTGCCAATGACTCGTCAAAGATGCAGTTTGACACATCGAACTGCTGATTCCCACTTTCCTCCCCAATGCGGAGCACGAGGTGGGATGAAGGTCCATTGGATACCTTCGTCTGCTAGGGAGTTCGCTACGTGATCCTTGTGTTGTGTTGAGCTCAGTAGCTGCTGCATTTCATCCAGGGATCTCCTGGCTCCGATGAAATTTGTTCCGTTGTCGCTGTACATGCGAGTACATTTGCCTCGTATAGAGAAAAATCGTCTCAATACCGCTAGAAATGTTTCTGTAGATAAGTCGGTGGCGAGGTCTAGATGGATCGCCGACGTAACCATACATACGAATAGGCATATAGCCCTTGCTCATGCGCGGCTTGCGCTCCTTAGCGTCTTTCAGAAGAATTGGTCCTGCATAGTCGCATCCATCCTGTGTACGTACGCTGGGTAGATCTGCCATACGTTGATGCATTGTGTGTTGTCTTTGTCGAAAGCACGCCAAACAGCTGTGTTTGATTTTGCGTATCAGATTCCGGGTGCCAAAAATCCAATATCGTTGCCGGACAATGACGAAGAGAGATGAAACTCCAGATTCCAGAAAGATTGTCCGTTGTAACAATTACCTGCGCAGCAAGGCAGTTAGCTTTGATCTCACTTTGTATGCTTTTGTCTAAAAGTGAAGAACAGATGTGAGAATTGTTCAACTTTACCAAAAATTGATCCTGGTCCCTCAGCCATGAAGGACCCTTCCACCACAATTGGAAGTCAATGAGCTCGGATACTCCCAAGCCCCGGGATGCACAATCCGGTGGGTTCGATTTTAAGTCCACATGCCGCCACGCATGCTCAGGTATGGTTTCCAAGATCTCGGCGGTGCGGTTCCCAATAAACGTCTTTAGTTGGGCTGGTGAGTAAGCTAGCCATGATAGGACTATTGTGGAGTCGCTCCATGCATAGATTGTCAATCCTTGTGTTTTAATACAGCCTTGATGGATTGCAAAAGTTGGCTCAGAAGAAGTGCACCGCACAGTTCCAGGCGTGGCAGAGATTGTTGTTTAAAAGGTGCCACCCTTGTTTTTGCTGCAAGTATGGCTACCGAAATGGTTTCATCGTCCTTAACCATTCGGCTGTAAACTACGGCTGCATATGCTTTCGTGGATGCGTCTGAAAATCCGTGCAATTTGATCTTGTCGGTGTCGCTCTCAACCAAGCGTGGTGTCTGGCATTGTGGTAGGTTTTCTAAATCTGATCGCCATTTGAGCCACTTGTCGGCTAATTTGTTTGATAGTTCGTCGTCCCAATTCAAATTCAACAGCCACAGTTTTTGAAATAGTATTTTGAATTGAACTACGGTTGGTTCTAATAGACCGAGAGGGTCGAATATGCGTTACACATCCGACAACACTTGCCTCTTGGTGCAGTTTGGACTCATTGCTAGATTCTCATTGTAAGACAATGTGTCCTTCTTAGGGTGCCAATGCAGCCCTTGAACCTTTACTAATGAGTGTGAGGAATCTGTTTTATCCTCCGATTCAATGTATTTGGTATTCAATACCCATTTCCCGAGCTCTAGCTTAGCACAGGACATTGTTGGACGAGTTCATCCCGATTGCGTCGCAGCTCATCCTCACTTTTGGATCCAGTGAGAACGTCATCCACATAGAAGTCTTCCATCAAGATTTTTGCTGCAAATGGAAACTCCTTCTGGTGGTCAGCAGCCTGTTGTTTGAGTACTCGAGCTGCTAGGAATGGTGCGCATGATGTTCCAACAACAAGGGTTGTACGAACTTCTTCGGATAAGGTTGCTGCCATGTTTATACGATATGACTCTATGGAGTCATATGGAGTTCTATGAACTTGCTATCAATTGTTGAATTCTTTCTTCACTAATACCATTGACATGAGCATTAGCCTCAGTATTTGTTACATCCTGACGCGATGTAGCTCCTAGACTCGTTCGGGGGCTTACATTTGCATTCGGTCTTTGGTGAGATCGGGTATTAGGTCTGTATCTAGGAATTGTTCCAGTAGTTGCGCTATTGTTTCCAACAGCTCTGGTTTTCCTAGCGTGGGAAACGTTAGCTTCTGCATTAGTCGAATTCTGGCTTTCAACCTGATCTCGCACCACTTCGATGGAGCAGCTTATTGTAGTATCTCTCTCATTGGATATTCGTGCTACCAAGTTTTCTAGACTGCGTCTTACTGCCACTATTTATGTTTATATTTTTTTTTGCTAGTGAT